TGGTATGGAATAGCCCTTTGGGCAGTTTGGATCAACTATTCTGGCTGTGCCCACTCCCAGTTTCTTGTGCGCCTGGCAGAGCATGGGAAGCTGAAAAAGTCCTTGACTAGCATAAGCAGTACTTAGCAACAACTAAAAACATCAGTGTGTTATCAACATTCTTCTCCTACTAAATCCAAACCACAGCACTATGCCTGCTACTAGGAAGAAAATTAACTCTATCCCAGCCGAAACCAGGACACTGTGACATTGCAAGTGATGTGGAAGACAAAGATCAAGTGTTTCGTTTTCCTGTGTGAGGTCTAGTAACAGATGAAACTAGAAGCTGGCAGGCTCAGAATGAACAAAATAAGTTTTGTTTCTCAGTGCAAGGTGTAAGTTAAGCTGTTGTGCCATGCTAAAAGATGCTGTTGTTGCAAAAAGTTTCCTTGAGTCCAAAGAATATGTGGAAAGCAGGAGAATTCTGGGGAGGCATTGCTTTATGCTTGGCCTGTCTTACTGCCTGTATCAAGTCAGACAAAGGTTCATCATATATGAAAATAAATATAGTTAATTGAGTTATTCAGAAAGTTCTTGCCTTTGGAGAATTGCTGAAGCTCAACAGACATGGCCTCATTCTGTGAGCTGAGATTATACTGTGTATTGGAGAAGTAATCGCTACTGTGTAGAAAGGTACAAAGTTACTTTTGCACAGGCACAGACTTAAATCCCTGGTTTCAGTAATATTTTTTTCTTTAAACACTAAAGTGTGAAACACCTTGTTTATTGAAAGGTCATTGATCGGAAAAATGTAGCATTACATTTATAAGGCCAGCAGCTAGAAAGCAGTCGGTCTCCCCATGTCTGAGAGGACCTTTCTAAAACTGCTTTAACTTTTAAACTTGAATGGATAGAAATTTTACAGAACAGTTTCTTCAACATGGGGGAGAGCAGTCAAAAAATTGTTTTATTAAGTGGTGCTCTATTAGACTGAAAAATTGTAATTAACAAGTTAAAAAAAATGGGAATAGTGGTGCTATTTGTAGTCCCTTTTTCTGTTTTTACTTGATGAAACTTTTCTCTTGTCAACAGCTCTGGAGGTTCTTGGAACTCCTGAGGGTCCTAGTCTTCGGTGGAAGAACCTTATCCTTCAGTTGAAAGCAGAGGCTTTGATTAAAATAGCTGATGCTGATGCTGCAGAAGAAGCCATTAAAGCACTTGAGCAGGTATTTTCATTGACTAAAATGTATGTATTTTTTTATTTTAAGAAGTGCTCTCATCTTTTGGTCCTAAAAACTCAAGCTGTTTATTTCTCCCCTTGCCTCCTTTTTACGTTCTGTGTGGTTTAGACAACTCCTACCAACTATTGTGTAGTCCAGACACTCCTTCTTTCTCTTTTTAGGCTTTGCTACAGCTCTTTTTCACTCACAGTTTTGATTTTAGAAGCTGTGACTTTTGACCTTGTCTGGTCTTGCTCAGTGCTGCTGGGTTCTTGCTAGTTCTATGGCTGATGTTCATCTTAATTTGATTTATTGTTAGAATCCTACTCCCCATGTCCTTCATTCACTTGTCATTAGTCATGAACAAGAACCTATTACTTCAAGATTGAATAGTTAAGCTTTAAGCAGAAGTTGCTTCCCCACTTTATTGCCTCACAGTTTCCCGTACACTACTTCTTTGCTGTTGGGACTTCTGTACCTTTGTCCTTGCTCTCTGCAATCTTCTGCCTGTTCTCTGTTAAAATTATTCTATCTAAGGCTTCTCAAGAGTATTCTGTCTAAAAGTTTTCTTGTCTTTAACTTTATGCAGTCTGCCTGCTTTTGACACCATGCGTGGATTTCTTAATCTGGGGAGAGAATAACTTGGTCATGTCTATTACTTGGTTTTCTAGATTGTGGATGCAAGCAGTGATCCAGTGGTTCTAGCTATCAGAGGTCGGGCTTACCTAAACAGAGGTTTAATGGATCAGGCTTCCAAGGTCAGTGCTGTATTGTCATTCCTGTAAGCTAAGTAGAATTCTTGGTTTCATAGAGGAAATAACTAGGGAAGAATGACATCCTTTTGCAGATCTCACAAGAGCTTCTGTTGTCCCACCCTAATCTGGCTGAGTCCCATGCTCTAGAGGGTTTCATCCATTATTCCCAAAAGAACTATGAACAGGCGGAAAGAAGGTAGATTTATGGTTTTTTTCTTTCCTCTAACAGGGAAATGTGGGGGGAGAGTCGAACATAGTGTTTTGCACTTTTTGAGAGTTTGTCTGATCTGACCTCTGTTCGTTTTATTTAGTTTTCTAAATGCTATTGGAAAAAAGGCTGAAACTGCAGAGTATCATCAGTACCTGGGGCTCACGTACTGGTTCATGAGTGATGAGACAAAAAAAGACAAGGGAAAAGCACTCACTCAGTTCTTGAAGGTAAAGGCAGCTTTAACTATTCATGTAGAATTAATGTTTTCCTGTATCAGAAACCGAATCTGGAAAATAGGGTGACTGGAGTGACAGACTTGAACATTCTGCTTGTTACCATTTACAAGCCTTCAGAGCCTGTAAACCAAGTTCAGCTGTGCAAAAATGCATTGCACAGAGCTGTGCAGTTGCCTGGAATCTCCCTGCTTTTGTTTTCTTCTTTTCACCTAATTCTTGAGGCCTTTGATTTAGCCAAACGTAGCGGTGATTCTCTCAATCTTCTCTCCTTGAGGGCTGTGAAGTCAAGGCCTCTAGATAACCAGCACAGGTCTTTGAAGACATTGTAAAATGGGGAGGGCAAAATTCAAATTGGAAAAAAAGTGAGGAAGGGAAAAAGATGAGTGGTGTTAGAGTTTCAGTGTCTGTCCAACAAAGTTAGTGTGCAAAACCTCACAATTTATATACTTTTCCTGATCTTTGGGGTTTTGGTGATTGTGGCTTTTTCTCTGAACATGGGTAAGAATGTGAATCCAAAAGATTTAGTCTGACATCTTTATTGGGAACTTGGAAATATTCAAAATAAGATCCTAAACATTGTAAACTCACCATGTAGCTTCATGACAGGTGTTGGCAACTCAAATCATTGCCTACTGGTTTACACTTCAATAACAGCAGAGTGTACTGCAGAATGTAGTTGAAGTGAAGAATACTTTTAGTTCTAAACCGTTTTATGTGAGCTGCTTATTATTATTATTATTATTATTATTATTATTATTATTAT